TCGCTCCTTACTTAGACCCCCAAAATGGCGGATCGGGCCAAAATCCTTTCCACGCCCACCCCCGTGACATCACGCTCCAAAGCCCTATTGTAAATGTTTCTGTCATTTCTTTCAGAAAAGAAAAATAAATAAGTTATAAACTCCTTGATATGGTGATGTCAGTATTTCACACAGACATCACATGTTAAAAACAGGCAAGGTACGGTCCTCCATACAGACTGTACACACTAGATGTAAGAGGACTGAAAAAAGGTGTAATAATAAATACAACCAAAAATGTCAATCGAGTCATTTGATTTATTCTAAATTTGAAAATTGCTTTATGTCCACCATTCTTGTGACTGACAGTCTCACTACCAGGTGACTGTTACTGTATTGTAATTTAGTGATCTATAGATAAAACTAGCGGTGTGCGATACTGCATATTTTGGAGGTGAGATGGACTCAGCTGTACGCATCTACAGTCACACCTGGCCAGCTTAAAACCTGTGCTCTGCTTGTGTTGTTGTTTCTGGTGGTGATGTGTACATCTGGCAGCGAGAGAGCTGCAGCCGTTGAATGTACTGTTACAGCAACCGTGTGATTATTGTAAATGTGGACAGCGCGTGGGAAGGACTGGAGGCTGGCGGGCCAGCGGGACCTGCCAAGCTGGAGATGGAGGTCGAGGTGGGGGTCCTGCCACACCCGAGGGCGGCGTGGTCCTGCGAGCTGGTCGCCTGCCCAGCTGCCTGTGAGCCCTGGCTCACTTCCACGCCTGCTGCGTTGCCACTGCTTGCCACATGGGTGGCCCCCGGACCAGCTCTGGGTCTGCCGCTGCAGGCAGCCCCGGGAATCACTCTCGTCACCGCCGCCGCTGGATACGAAGTGGTTCATCATCAGGAACCCTCACGTTAACTTTTATAGACTGGAAAGAGTTAGCGTTCATCCTCCAGCTTCACTGTGTTTATGTTATGCTAACATGGCTGTGTAGCTAGCGATCATGTAGCACATCATTATATACCAGCTAGTCCAACTTCAGTAACCCTGCAAACATCACTGCTGTTAGTTTTCTCTCTTCATTTATGTTGGAAGTGAAACTAGCGAGTGTATAGGATAAAGGTCTAATCATCTCTTAGTTTACTCAGATTGCACAGAGTGTATATTTGTTAATAATTTGAATCATTTTGGATAAGGATAAGTGTAAGATAATGGGGAATTTCAGTTTTTACTTTATAATTTGTTTAGCATAAGATTTACAGTTAAGCGAGCTAACTTCCTGCTAACTTCTAACTCCGTAAAAATTCATAAATCCTGTTTTCATGGATGCCTGGATGTTAAACTTAATTGTTACACCTGGTAAAGCAGCAACGCTGATCATTTTATTAAAGATGAAAGAATTTAAACAGTTTTTAAGTCTCGGTAATGCTGCGGTGATCATTTGACTTTGGAACCTGAAGCTGAGTTTGAACCCGGAAACAGCTAATGAGGTCAGACTTAAAGACCAGATTACAGGTACTGCACTGCAGTGATTTGTATTTATAACTATTTAATGATGGCTGAGGGTCGAGGCCAACCCTCTTTGAATAGAGGGGGTGGCTTATGACACTGTATGCTTATGACACTGGGTGGCTTATGACATAAAACACTTATTTGTACGTTATAATGTTATAATTTTCTTACACTGTGTGTAATTTTTATAGACACTTTGTTCATTGTGTCAATGTGTAATTATGTATCTTTGATAAATAAATTATTTAATCTTGTATTTGTGTACTTTCTGGTTATTGAATAAAAAATTAGTCACACATCGCTCTGATAAACACAAATGGCTGAAAGAAATGTTTGATGGAAAAAAGGAAACAAGTGTCTTGCTGCAGTAATACTAGAAGTAGTCCTAGTATTGTGCAACAACAAGGCTTCAAGAGCGATCACTCTTCTGGCTTGCAAATGGTGAAATAATGTCACAGTCTTAGCTGCAAATCAGAAATCTTAGTAAATTTAAAAAATGAGTTTAAACTTTAGGTTTGGCATAGACACAGACTTTATTAATGACACACTCAGGAAATTCACGTTACAGGAGCACAACGGTCAGTAAGAAAACGTGAATCAGAGATATATTAGAAAAATACAAAAAATAGTGCACAAATTTAAAACAAGCAAAACACCTATGCAAGAGTAATTACTAATGATTTACAAATGCTTGTCATATGCAGCCAATACACTCAGGGAATTTTATATCAGCATATCAGTATAAAGCTGTCTGTAATTCCTGGACAGCTCATGAAATAATTTTAAATCAAAGCTGCACTCCAGTTAACTTTTTTTTAATGACTAATAACAGGTTTATGTCTTAGATCATAGAACATATTGCTTGTATAATGCTGTATTCTACCCCAGCTTACCCTTTTCTTACAATCAAAGATTAAGGATTGTGTTTTTATAGCACGAAGTAAACTATCCCTTTTTCTTCTAGGCCTTGTTGTGTGTACCTCACAAGTCAAATTATACATTAGTGATACTTCCAAAAACATTTTGAATTTCATTTATAACCGAGATGCCAAGCTGATATCAGACATCTTATGCTCACCAGGAGCATATGTGTGATATGTGATTGGTAGCGGGCGAAGTTAGGCACGCCTATGAGGCGGAGTTGGTCTCGGGCACAAAGTTTCAAAAAAAGAGGTAAGCATCACTCGGGAGCTGAGACGGGGCGAGTAAGACGGACAATTTAGGCTGTGCGCTGGATGTGAGAAGTTAGGAGTGCTGTGAGTTTGGAGGAAGACCGAGGGTTTTTTCAGGAGAACACTGTTAACTTGCCTGGGGTTTGGGGGATAGACAGGAGACGATGGGGGGGGGGGGGGTTTGGGATCGTGAGAGCTTGTGACTCGGACTTTGATTGTGAATTTCCTATTTCGTATTAAACAATTGGAAATAAATAGTAATAAAGCTTTCCATCGGGGCATGCAGCCTGTATCTCCATTCTAAATATTACAAAAGCACAAGTTTAACTAAGCACTAAGAACTGTGGTTTAACACAAGTACACACACACACACACACACACACACACACACACACACAGGCCCACGAACAGATGGCATTTTTGGCCATAAGAAAATAAACTTCTTTTGGCTTAAAAATTTAAAAAAAATTTTTAGATATTTTTAATAATCAAATAATTTTTGAATTATTGAATGAGTTATGAAATATGATCATTTTAATAATAGTTTTATTAATATGATAATTTCATGTTATTAAAAATATGTTATTAATAATTTTATTAATAACATATTTATGACTGCCATTTGTTTTATTACGTCCTTTATTACTCATAAATCATTTTATTGTGGGTCATAAATCACTCATTTGAAGGGGTATAATATCCCTCCTCATATGTACTTTATCTAGTGTAACTTGAACTAAATATATTTTTAAGAGAATCTGTTAAACTCAGCTTCTGAAAGACACAAAGGCACAGCTAAAAGGCCGTGTAAGTGAAGGAAAGATCAACCTTTGTGGGAAAGAGCCCCCTTCTGCTCAAAACTGTCTGATTCGTCCCACTTGAAAATAGACTAACACTCTTTAAAAAACACACAAACAAAAACACAACATGACTGGACTCAGCTGATTTGCAGATTTTTTTTTTATCCCACCCAAAAAAAAGAATCAGTAGAGAAAACAGAAAATATTACATCCAAGTGGGCTTAGAGCATCTTTTGATTTGAAATGCACCAGGCCCAGTAACATTAATGTCATGGCCTTAATACTGTGAGGCAGACACCTTACAGTACCGCAGAGGATCCTCATGAATAGACGATTCCTATGAGCAAGCAGTCGGTGACCGTTGGCAGGATGAACTCTGTTTTAACAGGAAGTGAGCTTCAGATAAATTCAGGATGAAGTTAGTTTTCACTTGCAGGTGCACCAGTTAATGTCACAGCCAGACCACTTCTCACTGGATTCACATTTGCTTATTGTGCTGAAATGATCCGTGCTCTTAGAGAGTCTGGCAGGTCAAAGTAAATCCTGCTTGTGGCAAACTCTTCTCTGTAGGGCAGCAAGTCCTGCAGTGAGAACTCATCACTGTGGCCCGTCCACACAGTTAGAGTGTACCTGTCAATGTCAAGGAAAAAAGGTATTAACATATGTCAGAATGGTTTTGGAAACTCCGCCCATTTGACTTTATTCTGATTTTTTCAACTTTATTGTAACAAGAGATGAAAATCTAACTTTGTGGCATTGAAACATTAAAATGGTCCAATGAAATCACAACTATGAGACAAGAGTGTGGATCGAGTTAAACTGTGATCCAAGGTTATAATCGTTAACGAAAACTAACGAAATAACGAAAACTAGAAGTGAAAAAACATTTTCGTTAACGGAAATAAAAATAAAAACAAAAAAGGAAAACTAACTAAAACTGTAATGAGTGTTCAAAAAAATACTAAAATTAACTGAATTTATAGCAAAAATGTGTTTAGTTTTCATTGATGTGTGCGTGTCATACAATAGTCAAGGGTGAAAATGAAGTTTAGTTTCCAGATTTTTTTCTCGCGCTGTCTCATTATGCCAGCAGGTGGCAGCACGTTAGTCGAGTCGTCTGTGTCGCTGCTCCGCCCACGCGCAGAATCATGTCAGGAAAAGTCGGGAGAAAGCGCCAGAGTCCAATTTGGGATTACTTTGAATAGGACTGTGTTTTGGATAAAGCAAGTGTCTTGTAGTGGAAAGAGACAAATTATGAGGGACATTTATAAAGGGAAAAAAATCCCACAAACCTTAAAGTGCACTTGAAAAGCTCACACAAGAAGGCTAACCTAGCTTACCTTGAGAAGGGAGCACACTCAACCCTCATCCCCAGAAACAGACGATAACCCCAGGCAAGGCAGCGTGATGCATCCCGAGACAACAGGACGGGGACATCTACATAACTGTGTGAGTCAATTGCCTTCAAAAAGTTTATCAATTCACTTGAACCAAAATTACGAACACCCGGTGCTGCAAGAGTTAATAGTCTCATTGGGGCCAAGATATACATTTTATAGTTGCCTGGTATCAATGGTTGTTCATCTGCCTTTATTTATTTATTTATTTATTTATAGAACCCGTAGGTGGGAATGCGAGTTGTCTGTCTCTGCGTGTTAGCCCTGCGACAGATAGGCGACCTGTCCAGGGTGCAGGGTATGGTAGCTGGAATAGCAACATACCCAAGGATGAGCAGAAGAGCATGACTGATATGATGAAACTGGGATTTTGTTACACTTAATTATTGCAAACACAACTAAAACTATAACTGAAACTAATCAAAACTAAACTGAAACTAAGGATTTTCAAAAAATAAAAACTAAACTAAACTAGCAAACCAAACAATTGGTAAAAACTAATTACAACTGATATAAAATTGAAAATCTGAAGTCAAAACTAAATAAAAATAAAAACTAATGAAAATTGCAAAACTATTAAAACCCCGCTGTGATCCACACATGCTTCTGTCCAGTGATGACACTTTCTCTCTCACTGCTTGGCAGACAGAGATCTTATCGAAGAAGCTAAAAGGACAGTTTATGATTATATGGTAACATAACGCTTCAGCTGTGTCCCACACCAATGTGTGAGAAGTAAAAAGGAGAAACTACTGTGACTGCTTGCAGCCTACTGACTACCTCTGATCCACAATGAGACTAATTAGATGAATACAGTTTGCTGGTTTTGATTTGCTCTCCTTTACTGATATCGAGCATATATATGGCTTCTTCAGACAACCAGGAGACAGCAAAGAAGCCACTGCATGTTTGTGGTGTTGTTCTGAGAAAAAGGTCCGATGTGGCCGATATTCACCTGTCTGACTGCTTCAGCAGCCATGTCAGCTGGGAGAAGGACTTGGCCAGCAGAGCTGCACGTACTGGGAATGTTACGGGATGTTTAAGGTCTCTACAGATCTTCTCCATCATATGAACCATATCCCAGCTGTAGCCTGAACAAAAGAGAAACAAAACATAAACGTCTTATGTGAGATGTGTCACTATGGTCTGCTGAGGACTCAATGATTCTCATTCTAACCTCACTCAGGAAGTGCTCTCAGGTGAGACAGGCACATGGTCCCACAGTTCCCAGTATAACAGCCAGGCATTCTTACCTTCTTCCCCATGAAAACTCACAAGAGCTCCTTAGTGGTTCTGGACCAACATTAGCCACCTGACTGCTGGCTGACTCGGCTGTCAAGGTAGTCCATGAACATGAGTTCTTCTAGTGTCAGGATGAACTCTTATGTTGCATGCATGTATTTTCCAGGTGAGAATTTTATTTTTACTCTGCCAAGATGGTGTCAAAGAGACAGATGTTGTCCAAGATATGGAGGATGCTGGACAACACCTCCCACCCACTCCGTGATGTGCTGAGCATGCTCAGTGAGAGACAGATTTATCCAAATGAGACAGAAAATAGTTCCTGCCTGTGGCTACGTCCATCTAATTGTGCAGCAACAGCTGCACATCCTCTACAAAGGAGAGTCTAAGAGGGCATCTCAATTTCAGCTTTATCTACACTCTCTTCCATGTGAGATAATGGGATATTTATTTATTTATTAGAACTATTGTTTAATATACTGTAATTTTTTATTGGTACTGTAACTTGTTAGTTACTGTCCTTACTGTCTTGGAGAAACTGTGACTGCAAAGTTTCCTCTGGCATTAATAAAGTATTCTGAGTCTCCTCACTGTTCGAGTACCTAAAGGCATTGAGCTGCTGCACCACCTGTCCTTTGACCTCCAGGCGCTGAAACAGCGTGTGAGTTGTTGCTTCGTCAGGAGTGACTCTTCAACAGCAGCACTGCTGTTCATTCAGTTCTAAGAAGCAAATGAGTAAATCCACTTGCTGACAACATGCTGCCAGGCTATTCGAGTCGGGTGCACCACCATGTTGTCTGCATATTTGAGAACTGTCATACTGTCCATATTACAGGTTACATTATACGTGTAGAGACTACATCTCCATCACCCCTCAGGTCTGTTGAGGACGCAGGATCCTCTGCTCTGGATAAGCGGACCCACGCAAACCTAGAGCTCCCCCAGGGTGGACACAAAGCTATATATAACAGAGTTGTTGATTTAAAAAAAGCAATAATAATATGAAGAGGGTTTTGTGTTTCTCAGCCTAGAACAGCTACAATCTCAATTTCTGGGTTTAAGAGAGGAGAGTTCAATACCAGAGAGAGGAGGTGTCTTATTTAAGCAGTGATAAGAATGATGAACATGTCTCTCAGTGTGTCACTTGCAGATGGGGAAAAAGACCTGGATCAATTTTCCACATGCAGCAGTCGAAAGAAAATTATAGGTTAACATCTTTAGAAACACTCAGGCCGAGTTTTGACTGAATTGTTTACAGCTTCACTTCTATGTGTTAATTGCCCCTTGGGGATAAATAAAGTCTTTCTGATTCTGATTCCTCATCCTGAAAAGCGAGCTCCAAGGATGCTAACTTCTCCTTGAAGACAAGAAATGACGTTCCAAAAAGCAACAACATGGCAGTCCAAGAGACAACAGCAGAGTCTTGAGCAGAGAGACCCAGCAGCAGCAGTATTTGCTGAGAGAAAGGGAACCTATCTTCTGATTGGACGGATGGACATGCGTTTCCAGCAAGCTGCAACTTCACTGTGTCTGACTGGTCTTTGAGAAGACTGTCTGAGTTTGACATTTTCCATGTTTGGAGTGAAATGGCAAAGAACGAGACAGTGGGGACTGCACAGGACAAAGCTGAAGCTGGAATGCTGCAAGGGGGAGAGGAGACCAAAGTGGACGGAGCAGGTGAGGACCCAGAGGAATGCTGTTGTTTAGAGTGGGAAATTAAATTTGGGTTGGCGAACCTGGGAGGAAAATGACTGCTTTAAGTGGGAAAATTGAGAAGGAGTCTGAGACACTGCAGAGAGAAAGGTACACAAAATCACACACAAACAGAAAATGCATTAACCATACTAACACATACAATGAAACTCATGAAGACCAGACAGCATCGTCAGCATGTTTCTGTTTGTCATCTTGTCCAGTTCACTTAGTAAGATGAGAAGTGATACATAGACCACTGGACTGATATTATAGTAGGACAGATGATTAAATTATAGCAGGAGCAAACAGAATGCTGAAGAAGGGTCTGAATGAGTGAGGCTAATAGGTTGTTGAGTTTCTTGTTTCTGATGTGTGGAGGAAAGTTTAAACATGGCACACACCTGGTTACATGAGAAGAAACTCGTGATCTAATAAGACATTAGGATTATTTTGTGAGGTGTGTGGCTGATGGATGTTTTGAGATAATCTCTGTCGTCTGAGAGATCTGCACGATTAGAACAGAAAGCACTAAACAACATGTTGTCGGGAAAACGGTCGCAAAGTGAGCTTTTCCATATTAAAATGGGCTTGGGGGAAAGCCACTTATTTGGGACAATCAGAGAGCGAGTCCGGTTTAAAAGGATTTTTTTTTTTAAAGTGGCGTCATATTGCCGAAAGTGGGAACGAAATGCGACAAGAGATTCTACTATCAGCAATGAATATTAAAAAAAATGTGGAACTGACTGGACTGACAAAAGTTTGACAGAAGTTGACTTAACACCAACATGCAGGATTGCACCTCCACCCAGATGTGAAGGGTGGATGTATGGATGTGTGTTTCTTTATTGCAGGAGTAGGAGGACGACAGAGACCAGAGGGGGAGATTTTAGGGTCACATGAGAGTGTGGGCCCTGCAGACCTTTAACCTTTAACTGCTACTTTTCTGGGAAACTGATGTTGTATGAGGAAACTGTGTTTACAGGCTGTGTGTTGGTTATGCTATTACACTGTGTTGTTGAGAAAATGTTGAATGTTACAGCGGGGGAATGAGCATAAAATGTGAGACACATACTGTGTTGAAACCAGTGTCACTCTTTTCACGGCAGATTGTTAACTTTCTGGCCTTTTACAGCACCTCTGGAATCTGGTGACCCAGGCCTGACCTCCAGGATGCTGCTGCTGATGTTTGTTTCTCTCTAAGAGCGCTTGTGGAGGATTCAGCACAGACAGACAAGTGACAACAGAGCAGATGTGCAGTGATTATAGAACATTTTAGTGTTGGGCTCATTATCTGACCATCATTGAGCTCATAGAGGTAAAATAAGTGAGTGACATTGCTTAAGGAAAGTGTCATGGTCCTGAGTCTGCCGACTCAGTGTTTTGTGTTTCTTTATGCTTTTGTTTATCCAGAGTATATACTCCGTTATGATTTGCCATTTGTTAGGTTTGTGTTCTGTGCCTGCCCTGGTCCCACTTCTGTGTTCCACGGTGTTCTGTTCCTCCGTCTGCGTCTCTCTGTCCCGCACCCCGTTTCTTATGATCTCAGGTTTGTCATTTAGTTTTCCCAGTTCAGGTTTCTCCAGTCATTTGTCATTCCTCACTGTCTGTTTTGTCTCTCCGTTACTGGTAGATAAACGTCACTAGCATTATCATCTACTGCCTGCATTTTGGGTCCTTTCTCCCTCCAACACCACACGGCTCACCTCGGCAGCTGTGACAGTACGAACCAGCCACAATGGACCCAGCAGCATTCAACCCGACCGAGGAGCTTCGGGAGGATATTATTTACTCAGTGGATAAATTAATTAACTTATGGCTGGAGCACGAGGGGAGAGAATTCCGTCAAGCCATAGCTAATCGGCTGCAGCGCTTAGTTTCTGGTCTCCCCTGGTTGCTCAGCTCACTTCACCCGCTCGCACAGAATTTTGTTCTGAACGAACTTTGTCTTCACCCCCCGGCTGCTACCACCCACCCTGCAACTCATGGTTCGCTGCCTGGTCCGACGGAGGATGCTCTGCCTGGCCCGTCAACCCAGCCTTCAAGGGAAACGGCGCTCACTCCGTTGACGCTCCTCGCCACAGTCGGACCTAGGGATTTCAGAGCGGCCGGCTGTGGTGAGTGGACAGGACAATATTATTGGTCTGAACTAGAGATGGCACGATACCACTTTTTTATGTCCGTACCGATATCATAAATTTGGATATCTGCCGATACCGATATGAATCCGATATAGTGTTTTTTAATCAATAAAACTGTTTTCTAATATCTTGCTGCATTTTGTATAAGTTCATACTCAAGTTTAAATAAACAACAACACTAAAGCTATTCTGTTATACCTGTATGCAAAAAATACACTGCACCCAAAATATTTCATAGTTCAGCAAAACTGATCAATCTAATAAACTTAAACCTGCTCCATCCTCCCTGTTCTGGTATTTTAAAGAGTACTTAGCAGGAATATTAGGCAACCTGACTAATAGGGTTGCAAACTCCCAGCAAAAAAAAAAAAATAATAATAGGGAACCACCCCCCACCTCATGATGCTTAATCGACGTAATTATCTTTAATTTGGTGCAGTGTGAAAAAAAATGCACAGAAATAAATTATTTTACAAGAATAATTAAATAGATTCAACATCTTTCTTCAACAGAATTGCAGACTGCACAGATGGTATCTTCCCAAAGGAAAAAGTACTATAGCTCACTAGGGTATATCAGACTTAACAGTTACTATATACAGTAATGGACTTCTATATATTTTACATCAGATTAAAACTTTGGGTGTAAGATTCAGATAATTATTTATTAAAAGCTAGACATTTTAAATGAGAATAAGAAAGAAAAGGATGTCTTTGTGCCCCTTTTCCCTGTTCATGCCCTATCGGCCCCCCTGGCTAAACTTTGCTAGATCCGCCCCTGCACAGTTACGTCAGCTGTAGAAAAAGATCCTGGTGTAGAAAGTAATATTAAATAAATTCTAACAACAGCTTATCAAGCTTAAACGTGCTGCTGTTGTTCAGCCGCTGGTTTCCTCTTTCTGGTGCAAAGTGGGCAAAAAACAAAGAAGAGAGACGATCAGCTGATCATTGATCAATTTCACATTGAAGTAGCAGCAGGAGAGAGAGAGAGGCAGTCGCTCCATATATCAGTTGTTA